CCTTGCTGCCTGCAGGTGGACATCCTGGTGATGGCAGAGCCGTCCTCTGGGCGCTGGGTTCACCTGGACACGGAGATCACCAACAGCAGTGGCCGAATCACGTACAGTGTGCCGCGGCCCCGGCGCCTGGGGGTCGGCGTCTACCCCGTGAAGATGGTCGTCAGGTGAGACCCAAGGGACGTTCTCATGGCAACTTCACTCAGTTCCTTGGCCCTTCCAGAGGCCTGCCGAGAGGCTGGGTCCTTGGGGTGCCATCTGTCAGGCCCCGTCCCTGTCTGCAGGGAGAGAAGAAAATGGATGAGGTCGCAGCTGTGGCATCAGGAGATGCTGCCCTGATTCTCCCTCTTCCTGGCCCCGACAGAGCTCCGAGCCCAGCCACAGGCTGACCTTGGCGCCAGGCTGACACTTGACCCTGAGCGCATGGCTGATCTCAGGTGGGCACCTTTCAGGGGCGACCAGACCTGCGCGATGAGCTACCTCACAGTGCTGCCCCGGGGCATGGAGTGCGTGGTGTTTAGCATCGACGGCTCCTTTGCGGCCAGCGTCTCCATCATGGGAAGTGACCCCAAGGTCCGGCCAGGGGCAGTGGACGTTGTCCGGTGAGTGCTACCCCGCTGCAGGGGACCTGTTGCCTGGGGGCAGGGGCTAGCCACCCTGGGGTAGATGGGCTGGGTTTTTCTCGTTTCCTCTAGGAACTCCACTGGTCTCTGGGCCGAAGCTGGAAGTCCTGGCTTCACCTCCAGGAGGAATTTACTGAGGGTCCTTGAGGAACTCCCTGTCACCTTCTAGATCTCAGTTCCTCCCTCCCTCCCTCTGTTTCTTCTAACACTATCTGAGCAGATGGGGAAACTGAAATCCTGGGGGGTTAAGTAACCTGTTGCATGGCCCAGGCTGGATAGGACTGGGGGCCCTGGAGGGGAAGGGGCCTCCCAGGAGGCTTCTGCAGTGGCCGGGAGAGCGATGGGTCCCGAGCTAAGGCTGCAGAGTGGAATTAAAGTGAGAGGGTGGAGTAAATATCCTGCCGAAATCAGTCTCACTGATTGGAGGAAGAAGGAGGGGAGGCCGAGGGAAAGGGAAGAATCAAGGGGGCTTGTCTCTGGCCCCAGAAACTTGAGTGGAGATGGCGGCATTGTGTCGCGGAGAAGGAGACCTGAGCAGAGGGGGCTGCAGTGGGGACCGTTTGGTTGTGGGCACGCGGTTGGTGCCCCTCGATCATCCAGGGAAGATGTCCAGGACTTGGAGGGGCTCAACCAGGACTGTGGATTTTGGGGTTCTCCTTGCTTTCCCCTCGCACTCCTCTGGCCTCCTGGGGCTGCAGCAGGTAGGGCAGGCCGCTGGGCAGCCAGTGGCCCTCCCGGGGCCGGGGCCAGGCTGGACCTTGCAATGCCGTCTCGCCAGGCACTGGCAGGACCTGGGCTACATGATCCTCTACATCACGGGGCGGCCGGACATGCAGAAGCAGCGGGTGGTGTCGTGGCTGTCCCAGCACAACTTCCCACAGGGCATGATCTTCTTCTCGGACGGGCTGGTGCATGACCCGCTGCGGCAGAAGGCCATCTTCCTGCGCAACCTCATGCAGGAGGTGAGTGGCCGGCCATGGGTGGGGCTTCCCTCCTCCTCACTCCTCCCCTCCTCCCTCAGTTTGGTGATGGGACGGGTGGATGCCTAGTTTGCAAAGCACATTCACATGCATTTCATCGGTCCTTGTATGGCCCAGTGAGGTAGGCATTCTTATCCCCATCGGTGAGAAAGGTGTGGCTGAGGGATGTGCCCAGGATCTCAGAGTCAGACATTCATCTTTAGTTTTCTGACCCAAAAGCCTAAACTCTCATGTCTGCGCCTAGTTACTCCTTCAGCAGAGACTTGCGTGCCTGCTCTGCTCCCTCTCGATCCTCGGCGTTGGGGCTGCACAGAGGCAAACAGAACCTGGGACGTCCCCGACCTGTGGTTTTCACCTTGTGCCCCCAGGACCATGGCACAGCATCCCCTGGGAGCTCACTAGAAATGCAGTCTCTGGTCCCTGCTCAGATCTCCTGAATCGGCAACTCTAGGGAGGGGGCTCAGCAATCTGCATTTTAACAAGCCTGTCAGGGGATTCTGACGCTTACAAAACTGTGAGAACTGCGCGTCTGGAGCTGATGTTGACAAGCTGTGGCCCGGGGCTGAGTCTGGCACACAGCCTGTTTTTTTTACGGCGATGTGAGCTAAGAGTGGCTTTAATTCTTTTACGTGGTTGGGGGAAATAATCAAAAAAAGAATATTTTACGACATGTGAAAATTACATGAAATTCAAATTTCCGTGTCCATAAGCAAACTATCACTGGAACACAGCCACGCTTACTGGCTTGTGGGTTGTTTGTAGCCACTCGTGAGCTACAACGGGACAGTCGGATAGTTGCAATGGAGTGTGGAGCCTGAAATGTTTACTGTCTGGTCTTTCACAAAAAACAGTCTGCCAGTCCTTGACCTCCAGGAAGAAAGATAGGGGAATTGACAGTTTACTGGTGGGTGATTAGAAAAGGCCCTTTGCGCAAACAGAGGAGAAAGGACCTAGCTTTGCCCAGAGAGGTCGCGGAAGGATTTTAGGAGGTGGTAACTTTTAAGCTGCGTCTTGAAGCACGAGCATGAGTCTGTCAGGTGGCCAAAGAAACAGCGTGTGCAAAGGCACGGAGGTAGAAAAGAGCCTGGGATGATCTCAGAGCTGCAGGTGTTCAGGATGAGGGTGTGTGTGGGATCAGACCCAGGCCGAGTGGGAGCTGAAGTCCCAGAAGTGATCAGGGGCCTGGCCTGGGCAGGCCTTGAAGATGTTAAAAACTGGGCCAAGACCATGAACTCTCTGCTGAGGGCAGCTGGGAGCCATGGAAGAGCTTAAAGCAGGGGAGTGGCAGTGTCTGATTTGGGTGGTAGAAAGATCCTTCTGGCAGCTGTGTGGAGAACAGACTGGTGGTAGATACGAGGGGGAGGGAGGCCGGTTGGGAGGCCACTGCCCAAGCAAGAGACAGAAGGATCAGAGTCCAGGTGGTGGTCTTGGACAGAATGGAGAGAAAGGCACAGACAGGTAGGAGCATCAGAGGGTAGAACTGTCAGGACTCAGTGATGAATGGGAGGAGGGAGTAAGTAGCTCTCAGATGTCCATCCTGGGTGGCCAGGAGGGGGCAAGGTGATCTGACCCTGATCCTGACCCTCCGTGGAGGCAGAGTCTGTGTGTGCTTTGTCACTATTACATCTTTGCCATGTTGGGCAATGATGGCATATCGTAGGCACTCAGTAAATGCTGGTAGAATGAACTGAGTGAATGAATGCAGTGAGAGGGGCCACAGAGGAGGACCAGGCTGGAAGAAGATGAGCTGTGGCCAAGGGACATGAGCCCCGTCAGCCCCAGTGTGTGGCTCTGGGGAGGGGTCTGAGCCACGCTGGTCCCCCAGAGAGCAGGAAGAGGAGCCAGCAGAGGAACCAGAAAGAGCCAGAGGGAGGGGAAGCCAGGAGAGAGGCTTCTGGGTGTCAGGGAGGAGAGGGTTTCGAGAGGGAGGGAGGGATTACCTTTCCTGTGAGCATGCGTGGTGCAGTGAGGGCCGCCCACTGGATGAAGGCTGGACCCTGATGACCTCAGGGTGGAGGGAAGGGACACATCATGGGCCAACGGGGCAGAAGCAATGGGGTGAGGAGCAGGGCAGGTGGGTCTCAGCTTGGAGGGGTGGCGTGGCGGGGAGTGGACCCCCTGGACTGAAGTTGCTGGAGTAGGTAAATGAGGAGGTGGGATGAGGCGGGACAAAGACACTGCCCCTCCCTCCCAGCTAGAGGCTGGTTGGGAATAAACCAGCTGACAAGGAGAGGGTGGTGGGCTGAGGGCAACCTTTCTTTGGTTTGAGATCCAGGGCAACTTCCCCTACAGGTCTGCGCAGGGGCTCAGGGAGGGAGGTAAAAATTGGGTAAATTTTTTCGGGGAGGAGGAGAATGACCTGTGTAGGGCCAGAGCTGCCCCGTTCTGTGTCTCCCCAGCAGCTCTCAGTAGCCAGCAAATAGAAATGGAGAAGGTGGATGGTGCAGCAACTCCAGGGCTGAGGTTTGGCCAGGTGGGTGTGAGAGGAGAATGGGGGGGGGCGGAGAATCCAAGGTGGAGGCTGGAGAACACAGGGCTGCCACAGGAAGACCAGGTGGATGGGGTAGGGGTGGTGAGGTGGGAGGGGATGTACAGAGAATGCAGGCGCTGGTGAGGCTGGAGAGCCACTGGCATGGGAGGCTGGGAAGGAGAGGCGGGCAGAGTGAGGATGTGGACATTCAAAGCCACAGGGGGCAGTTCTGGGTTGAGTCCTCGGGGTGACTGCCGCTGACTTTCAAGAAGCTGAGAGGCAGAGGTGGTGGGTTGGTTATCCATGCGGTCAGAATTTATCCCAGCGATGGTGGGACTTAGGAGGAAGGAAAGCTGTGACCTGGGACCATCGTCCTAGCAGGAAGGGTAAGTAGGGGGCAGAAGATGGCACTGATGGGGGCTCAAAGTGAGGATGTGGAAGTGACACTGGAGCAAGGACGAGCTTGGGCAGTTCACTGAATTGGGATGAAGCTTCTGGACCAGCCAGGACCAGGCGGCTGGATGACTGGCCACAGTCCGATACTGTGTGGTTGGCCGGGGGCTAGGGGTCAGACAGAACTGGCCTCCAGTCCTGGCTCTGGATTGTGTCAACTTGGAATTCAATTTCTGGTCCACAAAGGAGCACTTCATCCTGTTGTTCGTAACCTGTGGTCATGTTCCTCACATGGCTGTGGTCGTGATGGTGTGGTCGTGATGGACACGCTGAGCCTGCATCGGGCCTGCAGTGCAGGGCAAGGGCTGGGAGGGGAGGCCACTGCTGGGGGCTGGATCCTGATGTAGGGTACACTCATGACTTGGAGTCTATCTGTGCAGGTAAATGGTCCCCTAGCAGTGCTCTGGGGTGGGGGTGGCATCTGGGAATCCTTTGTGGGGGATGCACTGGGCCCCCTCTCCCTCCATGAGCTTCCCTGTGTTTCAGTGCTTCATCAAAATCAGCACAGCCTATGGCTCCACCAAGGACATCTCCGTCTACAGTGTGCTGGGCCTGCCACCCTCCCAGATCTTCATTGTGGGCCGGCCCACCAAGAAGTACCAAACCCAGTGCCAGGTGGGTGGTGGTGGGGCTGGGGGTTGGAAGGGTGAGGGAGTGGGACCAGCAGATGGGGAGAGGGGAGAAGGTTTATTTCCTTGTTTGTTCATTCAGTCATTTATTTGTTCTTTCCTTCATTTGCTCACTCATTCAATCAACAAACACTACTGGGCACCTGCTTTGGACCAGGCACTGAGTTGAGTGCAGGGGAGCTCCTTGGTGGACTTGTATGTCCTGTCATCCAGTCTAGTGGGGGAGATGGAATCTTTAGCAACCAGGGACAATGCAGTGTGGCAAGAGCCTTAATGACAGGGAATGAATGATAAGACCCTACAGAGGAGCAGCTAAGCCGGACTCAGGGACAAGGTTGGTTTTTGGAAGTTTGAAGGAATTACCCAGGAAGGGCCTGAGGCTGGAGGAGCATTTGTGACAGATGCTGCAGCAAAAGCACAGGTCAGGAGGTGGCAGAGCACGTGGATATTCTGGGGGCTGCATGTGGCTCAGCTTGGCTGAGTGTGATGTGGGAGAGCAGGGCGGGGAGGGGGTGGCTGGAGCAGTCCATTGTGGATGGACTGTATGTCTTGCCCAGTTGGGACTCTGTCTCTGGAGTGAGTTTGTGATTCAAGGAGATCCCTCAGGCTGCAGATGGAAGGCGCATCAGAGGAAGAGGAGGGAAGCAGTGGCAGGGCAGAGAAGGCCAAGTGTCCGAGAGCCATTTCTAAGGCAGGATGGATTGGATTTGGTAACAGACCCATCAGACAAGCATGTGGAATGAGAGAGGGAAAGTCAAGGGTGGGGCCCAGTTTCCAGCCCGGGCAACCAGGTAGGTGGTGCCATTATTGGGATAAAGAAGGAGGTGACTGAAAGGAACGTGATGATCTCCTCTTGGGCCATGTAGAGTGGGAGGGCCTGAGAATGACAAGCAGGTGGTGGGTCAGAGATGGTGGGACCTCAGAGTGGGAACTGTGAGAGCAGGGCTTCTCAAACTCCCGTCTGCACACACATCACCCAGGGATCTTATTTAAATGCAGATTCGGATTCCCTAGGCCTGGGATGGGGCCCAAGAGTGCCTGTCAAGGGTCTGGGTTTTGCTGATGCTGCTGGTCCATGGTGCACACTTTGAGTAGCAAGGTTTTGAGGCCCCAGTAGGAGGGACTGGCAGGAAGGGCAGTATGGGGGCCAGAAAATAATGATGTTCCACGGGGTAGCAGCTGGAGGCGGCGGAGAGACTTAGCTTTGGGGGATTTTAGTGAAAGTGACCAGGATGGGAGCGTCACCTCATCAGGAAGCCAGAGGACTCTGGTGTGACCCGCAGGGACAGATAGAAGCACTCAGTTTTCCAAAGCGGCTGGGGAGCCTGGAGCGGTCCATGAGCGCCGTTTCCGGAGAAGCGGGGTGGTCCAGGGAAAGAGCGATGCTGGGGTGTGGGGTGGGGGCAGGAGCAGGGCCCGCCCAGCCCCGGGCCTGACGCCACCCTCG